CGGCGCGACGGGCTGGAGGCCGGCGGCGGGGACGGTCAGGGGCCGGGCTCCTCACCAGGTGCCGCGGGGGCCGCCCCGCAGCCTCGCCGCAGCGCGCGCCCCCGGGGCCGCCGGTTCCAGACGCTTCCGCGGCGCCAGGTGGGTACCCCGCGCGCGGCCGGGGGCCTAGGGGTGCTCCCCCCCGCCCCTCCAGCCGGGCTGGACCCGGAGCCCGCTCCCTCGGAGAGGCCGGGGACGCTGGGGACATAATGTGACAGTTCAAACTTTAAAAATATAAGGGGTCGCGGACCGGCCAATGGGAAAACCGAACAGCCCCACGCGGTCCCCGCGGTTCTGGGGGACTCGGGAAGGGACACGCGGGGGGCTCCGCGCGGGCGGAGGGGCGCTCCGGAGTTGTTTTTGAAAGGGGGGGTTCCTTCAGGGTTGGGGCGTCTTAGGTACAACACGGGCTGACGGCAGCCAGTACATCGCCTTCCGCGTCGGAAGGTCCGGCGGCCTGGAGCCCCGAGGGCCGTGGGCGCGGGGCGCGGAGGGGGCGCGCTGGGCCGGCCGCGCGAGCGCCCCGAGGGGCGCACGGGTCCCCGGCCCCGGCCGCCTCCCTCCGCCCAGAGTCGCCGCCCCAGGTCGGAAGCAGCAGCACATTTGCGGATCGCATTAGGCCCGGCCCTTAATGCTTTCTCCAGATGGAGAGGAGCCACCGACCCGCCCCCGGACACCGGCTCCGCCAAAGGCGCCCGCGAGGCGAGTGTGACCCCGGCTGTTCCAGCCTCGGCTCGCACAGATGTCCCTGTGAAACCGTCCGGGGAGCTCCAGAGAACCTCCCTCGCTGCCCTCCCGGCCCCCGAGGGCCCCTGCTGGGTCGCCCTCGCCTGCTTTCGGGGAGCCCGTGCTGGCCGGCGCCGACACGGTGCCCGCCGGACCCCCCTCTTAGCGCCTCTCGCACGCCTCCGGCTGCAGGTCTGGGGCTCCGAGGGCGCCCTGAACCAGCAGGAGACCAGCCTCCCTGCCTCCCTGTGTGACCTTAGGCAGGTCCCGTCCCCTCTCTGGGCTGGTTTCGTTGGCAGCCCCACTCATTTTCGCCTGAAGTAACAGAAGCTGGCAGGTGCCCTAACCCTTGGCTCCACGCTGGCTTCCTGAGTCAGATGCCCATCGCCACACCCTGCTGCTGACGGACGGGGCTGGAAAGCGGCTGGTGCAGCGATGCCTCAGCTTCTGGAGGGCTGGAGGTGTGGGTTGCCCGCTGGAGGCAGGTCCGGCTGCCCTCCTGGCCTTCGTGGGAGCTCACCCTTAAAGCGAGCCCCAGGCAGCCCGTACCCTGCGGTAGGTAGCCCCATCCTGGCCCCACACACACCTTTCCGGTCTCCCTTTGATTGGTCTGTTAAGTCGTGGGTGCTGCTGCAACTGGGGCCAGAGCGGGTTGGAAACGCGCTTTTTTCTTCTTTTGTAGGCTACAAGCGAGACGCCCAGGAGACCGGACCCCATGGCTTCCTGGAGCAGCCCCTGGTGGCTGCTGATATGGATGGTCTTTATGCACTCTGCCCTCTTGCAGGTAAGAGGGAGGGGAAGAAGCATTGTTCTAGAGCACTTAAAACGAGGTGTGATTAGCGGTGTTCACCTGATACTACAGAGAATCTCACGTTATCTCTCTCGCCTTCAGCTAATGGTGTTTCTGGCCGACTGAGCTGTAAACATGACCCCAATTCCTTGGGTCTTCTCTGAGTCCTGAGCAATGGGTACCACAAGCCGGTGATGACTCGGGGCTGTGATGGACCCTGTCTTTCCAGTCCAGAACGGCTGTGTGTATATGCCCAAAAGGCTGGGCTGCCGGAGGGCAGGACACAGTGAAAGGGCAGAGCTCAGGGTGTGGCCTTAGCTCAGCCACTAAGTTAAGTATTCTGAGTTTACTCCTGTCAGCACATATCAATCACAATGTCTTGCAGTCCTTTTTGGGACTCCTGTCTTTCCCACCAGCCCGGGGAAGACCCAGCTCACCTAGTGCATCCTCATTGGCCCACAGGGCAGACTCAAACAAAGGAGTGAAGCTGGCATTGCCTGAGAGACGATAGGGCGTGGCGGAGACAGGGGCACAGTGGACGGCATTCACTTCATCTGTTAAGAGCCACCTCTGCCCAACCAGCTGGTCGTTGCCAAGTGGGAACACACGCCCACGATTGCCAGGTCCTCTAGTTTTCCTGGATAGCTGGATCTTCCAGATTTCCTGTGCAAGCTCCTAGTTTTTAAAGCATTGACAGTCGGACAGATGTGTTTGTAGCCTGGAAGTGGCCAAGCAGTGTGTAGCCCCAGGTCTAACGGTACAGAGCACATCTAGTCAGTGTTGCGTCCTGAGGGCTGCCGCCAGCCCACCCCGTACCCTGTGTGAATTAGGACAAGGCAGCCCTTTACAGATGTAATTCTCAGGCACGTGACCTGGGCTTGTGTACCCTCGGGGACCAGCAAAGGGCCTGGCACTCACTACGGGCTTTAGCGCCTGTTAAGTGAGCATGTACACATGAGTAAAGAGATCCGCCTGGGGTGGATTCATCACACTTCTCTGCTTCTGCCGTCACCCTCTTAGCCTCTTTCAGTGCCAGTGCCCCATGATACCTGTGACTCATGAGAACTGGTTCGCAGAGTACGTCTTCTTCCCCATCCCATGCTGCTCCACAGTCAGGTTTTAATAGGAACCTTTTGTTAGAATAAAAGTTAAGTATTTTTCAGGGTCATTCTCGGGTTTCTCTGGTCAGCAAGGTATAGTGTGTGGCAAAAAAGCAGACACTTGCTTTTCTATCCCATCCGCAGATCTGAAACAGGCTAGGAGAGCTTCAGAAACCTGTTCCTGGTCAGATGGGGCTGAGGCTTCAAGGCACAGCATGTCATCTTGTCCTCTTTTCACCCTATAAAATTTAAATGTGCTTTGAGGCAGTCTGTTGACCTTTGGCCAAGGGCAGTGTTTGCCCAGCTTGAATCACTCACCTCTTTTGGATTTTTCCATATCTGTGTGCCTCTGGCAGTGCTGTTTCCATGTATGGGGCAGTGTGCAGAGAAAGCTGTAAAAGGAGATGTGAGGTCGGCGCTGTCCGTCGTCCACGGCATCCACTGTTGGAATCCCAGCTGCACCGCTTCACTGCCTGTCGTGCACACGTCTCTGCACCTCAGTTGCCACATCTGTAGAGAGGGGCTGTCTACCTCATAGAATTGTTTGGAGCAACTGAATCATTGTTAAGCAGAAGAAAGCCACAAAACCAAACAGAAACAGTATGTGGCACATAATGAGGGTACAGTCGATATATGTGGGTGCTCCCAGTGGTTTGAAATGAGGGCCTGTAATTTCTCTGTGGAGCTGTAGGGGGCACTCGGGAGGCATCAACTGAGAAGAGAAGATGCTGCTGAGGCTGGAAGGAGATGGGGCCTGATCTTAGGTGAGGTTACTGAGGGGTGGGGGCTGGCATTGGGCGGGGCAGCCCCACCACCGGCCCTGGGAGAATTCTAGCCAGGGGTAGGTCAGTTTCCAGATCTCCCCATAGACTACACACTTGCTTATCTCTCTAGTGTCAGCCTGGGTGTGATTCACAGCTCCCTTCTGAGGTTTCTTGGGATGTTGGTGTTTGGGGGGGCCATACGTATTCCTTAGTATCTCCCCTTGTCTTAGAAGTGCTGCCACCAGGTGGCTGACAGAGAATTAATAGACGCGTAAAGCTGAACATCAAGGAGCGTGGGATGTGCCAACTATTGAATAATTTAGTAAAAACTAGTTTTTCTTTATTTAATCAGCTAAAACCTAAAACTCTTAGCAATCGCTGACCACAAGTAATTGTGATAGATTGCAGAGCAAGGCATGAGGTCGGCAGTCTTGTTTTTGTCTAATTCGTTCTTGGCCATTTCTGGAGGCAGAAATGGTTTCCCTCACCCAGACAGCTGGAAGGGCCTCCCTCTTCCTGTCTCACGGGTTCTGGAAGCTTCCTGTTGCTCTGGGCCCTCTCCTGAGGGACCCCGATCTTCCCTGAGAACACAGCTGCTACTGTTCCAACTCTTCCAGCCTCCTTCACCGGGAAGTCTCAACTCAATGGGACATTAAATATGGAGCCAATTGTTGGCTCCGTCAAACCAGTCCGTTCTCAGCCTGAAGTGAAATAGGGGGCAGGTCCACTTTCATTTATTAAAAGTCCAGTCCCATTTAAAATTTTGATTACCCGCCACCCCCTCTGCACCTTGATTTAAGTCTCATCTCCATCCTGTCTTGTCGAGCCTTGACCCGTGGCTCCAGGTACCTGACGTGGGGTCATGTGGTTTATTCTCTTCTCACCTCAACCAGTGGCAAGGACTGGCTCTGGAATGCGTCTTGCTTTTCATGATCCTGAGTCCGGCTTTCCTGGGGTTGGAAATGAGGTTGGGACAGGGAGAAGGGCAAACAGCTTTTTACTTAAGCTGGATGCCTCTCCCTGCCAGCTGGCGCTGCCCTTCGGGCTCTCACTGACTTCTGCTCTCCAGGCAGCATGTGCAGGTTCTTCAGAGGCCTTTGCAGGACCTGCCTCGTGCTCAGGCCGGGGTCCTCTTGCTCAACAGGCAGCCCTGTTGGGTAGGGTGCTGGCAGGATGGTTTTGGGCCAGCTCCCTTTGGTGCTGTCCAGTGCATCCACAGGAAATGCATGCACCCTTGCTGTGCGCACAGTGGGGCTACAGAATTCTGCCTCTTCCTTCGGTCCTGCTAGCTCCCTTCAGCTCTTTGTTTCCTGCTGTGGTAGGTCCAGGGACAGGCCACGTCCAGTGTCAGCAGATGCCCATCTGGGAGTGAAGTGCCAGTCTCTCCTTGCAGCACGTCCAATTTCTATGAGTGATTTTTTTCTTTTTCCTATTCATCTTAGTCCTTGTTAGAGATTACGGAGGGAGTGTGGGGGTGGCTGGTGATAGCAGGACTTAGTGCCTCTTCTTAGCGAGCTCAAAGGGAGATGTCCGCCTTATGTTGGTACCTCTCTTTAGAATGTGGGATACTCCTCTTTGTCATCAGCTTTGGCTCCTAAAACCCAATGTTTTTGCATTGGGAAAGGTCCCAGTGAAAATCTAGATACTAAAATTAGACATGTTAGCTATTGTCTGAGGGCCAATGCTCGTTCTCAGCTTGGTGATTCTGGGTATTTTGGCGGTCCTGGTGTTGATGTTTTTGTCTCTGTGGCGGTTATCTTGCTGGATGCTCTGGCCCTGGTGGCAGTTCTCTTCCCTCTGACACTGCAAGTATTCATCCCAGCCTTTAGCTTTCATTCCATCTCCTTGACATCAGAAGGCAGAATCCCAGCTTGGGTGGTTGGCATGAGGTACAGAAATCTCCGCCGCCTCCAGACCACTCTCTGACCCAGGAGAAGGAAGGTGGCAGACCCAGCCCGAGAGGGTAGCCTGTGTCTGTTTCCTCTTGAATGAATTGGCTCCTATAAGAGCGATGGTCAGAGATCCATAAACACTTGTAGTCACCGTTTACATCAGCTTATCAGGATACCAAATAGTTGGTGGTAGGACGGCTTTTGGTTTTTTTTGGCATCCTTTTTATCTATTTCTCTTCTTACTCTCACTGCATGAGCTCGGTATCTTCTGATCTTCCTTCCGTAGAACTCCCCAGCCAAGTTCTGTGCCACATTCCCTCCTGTTCCCCGTCCAGGGAAGACGTTTGCGAGAATGACAGGTGATAGAGCTCATTGCCGTAGCTTGACCTACCGTGCCAAGAGGCAGGTAAATTATGCAAATAAGACATTTAAATTGTAGAAAAATAGAAGACATCAATAAATGAAGGGAAAATCAAAATAAAAAATTTGCCTTAATCCTACCACCCAGATAATAACTACAAACATTTTCGTGTTTATCTTCCAGACTTTTTCTGTGTATAACCATGACATCAATATATGTATATGTTTTGATACATGGGAACATGCTAAACATAACTGTTTTATACATCAGTGTTTCCAGTCTATCACACACATCTTTCCATGTCAGTAATGGCTGTGTTCTTGGCACTTATGGATCCAAAACACCATAATTTGTTTAAACACATTATTTATTGGACATCGGCGTCATTTCCAGGATGGTACGGTCAGTTGAGTTTCCTGTCACCCACCTGCAACGAATAGCTTCTACTCACATCTTTGCTCCCTGTTTTGAGTATTTCCTTAGAATAATTTTTCTTGGTGGACTGGGCTTTGCTGCTCATTTCTTAACATTTCTGATCTTGCTCCTCTTCACCCTGTTTTATTCTTGGTGGAGGTCTTCCAGCACTCTGGGTTTTATGTCATAAATGTACTTCCTGTGTGACCACGTCTTCCACAGTGACTTTGGATGCGTGTGCCAAGCTGTGCTGACATTGGTGATGGAGTCTGAGCAGGAAGACCTAAGCTTGTCCTGGATGCAGACTCCACCTAGTGACCAAGTTGTCCCCAAGGCCTGCCACTGCAGGGTGGGGCCGTTGGATAGGTGGGTGGGAGTCCAGTGGGAGGGTGAATGGGAGTCCCCTCCTTGTGTGTCGTCTGCGACACCTGTCCTCCTTTTTTTCTGTCTGCCTCTCTGACTT